TTTTTAATGATTTATTACTCTGACAACTAACTTAAAAATGATCAAATTTGGCCACTGACTGAGCTAAAATTTATTCTGTATAGATATACTTTTATATATTTATGTTTATATTATTTTATATATATATATATATATATATATATATATATATATATATATATATATATATATATATATACATATATATATATATATATATATATATATATATATATATATATATATATATATATATATATATATATATATATATATATATATATATATATATATATATATATATATATATATATATGAATATATAGTTTTTATGTGTATACACATAACTGTCATGTTTTGAAAATGTTTGCAAGGGAGACTTGGAAAAAATTTTATACCACTGGATATTTGTCAACTAAAATACCTTTATTTCTAAAAAAGTTTTTTAATGATTTATTACTCTGACAACTAACTTAAAAATGTCCAAATTTGGCCACTGACTAAGCTAAAATTTATTCTGTATAGATATACTTTTATATATTTATGTTTATATTATTTTATATATATATATATATATATATATATATATATATATATATATATATATATATATATATATATATATATATATATATATATATATATATATATATATATATATATATATATATATATATATATATATATATATATGTATATATATATTTATATATATATATATATATATATATACTTATATATATATATATATATATATATATATATATATATATATATATATATATATATATATATGTATATATATATATATATATATATATATATATATATATATATATATATATTATATATATATATATATATATATGTATGTATGTGTAAGTGATAATTTTTAAATAAACTAAAATATTTATTCTGTTAATAAACTTAATTTAGTCTGACTTATTATGTTTTATTAATTTTGATAATATTTTATAAATGTGAATCGTATTAAAACTAAGTACTATTTCTAACTAAGAAATAAATATTTAAAAAAGTTGAGCGTTTTAGTAAATTTAACTTAAAACAAAACAAAACATTGACAAAAATAAGAAGAATAATTCGAATTTACCCTGAGATTTATGTACTTTATATACATTTTGATATAAAATCTAAAAGTTTTAAATTAGTCGCAATAAAATAGGCTATAAAATATAACTTTATTAAATTTTTTTATATACCATATGCATGCATTCTATCAAGTTTTCCTTGCCTTTTCATTACGGCAAATTATTTTTGTAATGGCTAGTTATTGAGACAATAATTTTCAATGTGCCACTTCCTCAACATTGTCAAAACAACTTTTTATTAACGTTGGCAAAGTAATACTTTTTCAACGTTTTTTAATTACCAAATTTTTATCCAACGTTGAAATAACGTTGAATAAGTGTTGTTTTTTAAATAGTTTAAATTCGTTGAAAAAGCAGCTAATGTCTAACGTTGATAATAACCGCAACTTTCACCACGAACGGACGTGTTTTAAGAGCTTATTAAAAAACTTATAATAATGGCGAAAAACTTTACACCAGCACAACTTAAAGAAATCCTTAAAAATCACGAGAATACTATGATGAAAATTTTTAATGATCGGATAGAAAAAATGGAAATTAAATTTAATAACTTAAAAGATGAAAACTTTACGTTAAAAAAAGAATTCTCTGAGGTACAGAAAGCTGTCGAATTTATAAGTAAAAGCTATGATAAAATAATAATTGAACTTACAGAATTAAAAAAAACAGAATCTAAAAAATCACCAGATGAAAGTAATATTGAAAATGGAACTAATAACATAAAAGAGAAAATAGCAGAACTAGAAGACAGAAGTCGTAGAAACAACTTGAGATTTATTGGGATTAAAGATAAAGCTAATTTCAATAAATACGATTTCTTCATCACCGTCAGAAACGCACATATCACTCCTAATGTTATGCACAATGTGTTCCTTAACGTAAATCAGAACTCCTGCACCGCGTTTATTTGTTTGTCTTTCTAATAAAATTGTTTCAAAACCTGGAAGATGGAAAATAGGAATTATTTTTAAAATCATTCGAAGAAATCCACGTTTCTGTTAAGCAAATTATGTTAAAAATATTTTCAGTTTCATCTAAAAATATAAATTTAAAGAAACTTGGGAAAAAGGTGAGCAAAAAATCAAAGACTTCCTCAATACAAAGCTTAATATACAAGAAAAAATTTTAATAGATGGAGCCCATCGAGTTGGAAAAGAAAACGGAAAAAAACAGATCAATAATTGTTCGGTTTCAAAACTACAAAGACAAAGCCCTAGTGTTAAACAAATATACGACGATGAAGCTATGGAACGAACGGTTGTACGTTAACGAAGACTTTTGCGATTTTACAATCGATTTACGCAGAAAGCTTTTCAAAGAAGCGAAAGAATTGAGAGCGAAAGGTAAGTTTGCTAAAGTAGTTTACAATAAATTAATTACGCGCGACCTATTATAAAGGAATTCTTTTAATATTCTATAATTAAATTTAAAAACAAAAATGGATGACTTTTAAAAAGTTTTGCGATTTTTTAGATGAAACTGAAAATATTTTTAACATAATTTGCTTAACAGAAACGTGGATATCTTCGAATGATTTTAAAAATAATTCCTATTTTCCATCTTCCAGGTTTTGAAACAATTTTATTAGAAAGACAAACAAATAAACGCGGTGCAGGAGTTCTGATTTACGTTAAGGAACACATTGTGCATAACATTAGGAGTGATATGTGCGTTTCTGACGGTGATGAAGAAATCGTATTTATTGAAATTAGCTTTATCTTTAATCCCAATAAATCTCAAGTTGTTTCTACGACTTCTGTCTTCTAGTTCTGCTATTTTCTCTTTTATGTTATTAGTTCCATTTTCAATATTACTTTCATCTGGTGATTTTTTTGATTCTGTTTTTTTTAATTCTGTAAGTTCAATTATTATTTTATCATAGCTTTTAAACAATAAAAATTTAATTTTAAACAATAAAAAAAATAATATTCTATTAAGCTGCTGTTATAGACCACCTGATGGTGCGTCTGAAAATCTTAGTTTCTTTTTACAGCAAAATATCATTCACAAAGGTAGCAAAGAAAACAAAATTACTTTTATAATTGGAGATTTCAACATGAACTGTTTAATTTATAATAAAGATAAAAAAATAAAAAGTTTTTATGATGAAACACTTATGGCAGCAGCTGTTCCTTTAATTAATCCCCCTACTAGAATAACCAAAACTTCAACTACGTTGATTGATAATATTTTTACAACAGATATTTATAATAGAAAATTAAAAAAAGGAATTATACAAACCGACATATCCGATCATTTCCCCATTTTTCTAACAATCCATACTGTATCCTCTAATAACCCCGAAAGACAAAATATAGTAAAAAACGTGCCTTCAATGAGAGCAATATAAAATCCTTCCAATATCAATTATCACTTCTGCATTGGAAACATATTAACTTTAATGAAGACGCAAATACAATATATAATAAATTCTTTAATACGTTCTTCTCAATATACGATGCAAACTTTTCACTTTGTGAAAAAATAACAAAAATAAAAACCTTAAATAGTCCATGGATTACCAAAGGACTTAGAAAATCCTCTAAAATAAAACAGAAACTATATATAAAATATCTAAAAACAAAATCAAATGAAAACCAACAAAAATCCAAAATTACCAACATTTATTTATAAAAATTCGTAAAAAATTAAAAAAAAATTATTATTCAAAATTAATTAGTAAATTTAAAAACGACTCAAAAAATACTTGGAGAACGTTTAAAGAAATAACAGGAAAACAAAAAACAAATTCAAACTCCCTTCCTAAAGTAATTAAAATAAATAAAACAAATATATATGAACCAAACGAAATTGCAAACGAGTTTAATAAATATTTCATTGACATAGGAACCAAATTGGCAAACAAGATCCCTATTACAGAAAAAAATTTTAGTGATTTCCTAGAGCCTATAAATAATTCGCTTTTTATAGATAATTTACATTCTGACTTATCTTTTGATGAGTTTGAGAGAGCTTAAAATCTCTCAAAAGAAACAAAGCTACGGGTGCGGACGAAATAAATGGCAACATAGTCATAGATTGCTTTGAAAACTTAAAGTGTATTCTTTATAAAGTCTTTAGGGCATCTATACAGCAAGGTGTATTCCCCGACCAATTAAAAATAGCTAAAGTAACTCCTATATACAAAAACGGAAAAAAATCAAATATTAGTAATTATCGCCCTATCTCCGTTTTTTCAACTTTCTCAAAAATTTTAGAAAGAATTATATACAATAGAACATACAATTATCTTAATCTAAATAAACTTCTATATAAAAATCAATTCGGTTTTAAAAAAAATTGTTCAACTGAACAAGCCGATACACAGTTCATTTGTGAAATCTCCGATTCATTTGGTAGATCACAATATACATTAGGTACTTTCATTGACCTATCAAAAGCATTCGACACGGTCGATCACAAAATTCTACTTAAAAACTCAAATTTTACGGAATTAATGGCAAATTAATAAAATGGTATCAAAGTTACTTGGAAAATAGAAAACAATTTGTTTTCTATGGAGATTATTTTCAAAATGAAAAATTAATTGACATAAAATGTGGTGTTCCACAGGGTTCTATTCTAGGCCCACTTTTGTTTTTAGTTTATATAAATGATTTAAATAAAGCTTCTAACCTTATGAGTATAAATTTTGCGGACGATACTAATTTATTTCTGTCAAACAGTAGCATTTATGAGCTTTTTTCAAATATGAATAACGAACTCAATCAGATCTCCAACTGGTTTAAGTGCAACAAGTTAACTTTAAACATTGACAAAACAAATCTTTGTTTTGTCAATGTTTGGATCCTTTTCCACTCTCTTGCTAAAAAGCGTTCTTTACCAAATAAATTGCCTAAACTTTTTATTGATAAAATTTAAATAAAAAAGGAGTCGGTCACAAGATTTTTAGGCATTTACATTGATGAAAATATTACATGGAAGTATCATATCGACTATATTTCTACTAAATTGGCTAAAAGTATTGGAATTCTATAAAAGGTCAGATACTATCTAAGTAAACAAAATTTAATTTAACTCTACTACTCTTTTATTCATAGCTATATAAATTATGCAAATATTGTTTGCGGAAGTACCTCTAAAAGTAAGTTACGAAGTCTTTACCATCGTCAGAAACACGCAATGCGTTTAATATGTTTCGAAAAATTTTTTTTTCTCATTCAAATATTTTATTTAAAAACGTTAAAGCACTTAACGTTTACGAACTCAATGTCTATAATATTTTATGTTTTATGTTTCGTTGTAAAAGTGAACAACCATTGTCCAATTTCAAAGATCTTTTTACTTATAAAACTATAAACAAATATGCTTTTCGAAATTATAATTTATTAATTGAACCCTTTTGTCAAACAAAGTTTAATCAATTTTGCTATATAGAGCAAAATTGATTAAACTTTGTTTGACAAAAGAGAACTATAGAGCACCGTATTTATGGGACAAAAGTGAACAACAATTGTCCAATTTCAAAGATCTTTTTACTTATAAAGCTATAAACAAATATGCTTTACGAAATTATAATTTATTAATTGAACCCTTTTGTCAAACAAAGTTTAATCAATTTTGCTATATAGAGCAAAATTAATTAAACTTTGTTTGACAAAAGAGAACTATAGAGCACCGTATTTATGGAACAAAATTGTTGTTCCAAATTTTGATTTGTCAATTTTGTTTTCCGTTTTTAAAACTAAATTAAAAAACTATATTCTTTCTACTGGCAATATATATAAATATTTTTGAAAGGTAAAATTCATTTTTTTTACTCTGGATAATTTGTAAAATTATTTTCAGTTTTTGTTTCTTCTACATTGTTATTAGTTATTTGATCAATTGTATTTTATTTTATTATATATACACGTATTATATCTTTTATATGGTTCTGGCGACAAGATCATTTGGATCTTCTTTCAGATACCAAGTTTATATATTTTTATATTGTTATATTACGATTAATAATTGTAAACTGAAAAAAAAAAATAAAAAAAAAATAAAAAAAAAAATAAACCATTAACTTTGCGACGTTTTTACAGTGATAATTTGCGTACTTATTTTCAACGTTTACTAAACGCATTTTTTTGAGAAGATAAGATACGTTTAAATTTATACGCTTATTCAACGTTGAAAATGTAACGTTTAAAAAGCTGTTTGTTTTTAACGTTGATAAAGAATATACTTGGAAACTTTTTTAAAATGGCTTTTTGCGTAAGTTGATTT